GGGTATGCAGTTCTGGCTGCCAGTCAGAAGGCAATATCTGTCCAGTTCCCTTACACTTGCATTTATGCCTATGTGAACCAAAATGGCATTTAAAGGTTGCACAGTTTGAAGAAAAGGAGAGGTTCTGCCGTGTAAAACAGTCATTTATTAGTGATTAATACTTTGCCATGTTTCTAAAATATGCTGCAGCTTAATTTCATGTTTCATTTACTTGGAAGTCAACTCCACAAGGTAGATTTGCCTGTAATACAGAAAAGTTGCAAGAAAAATCTCAGTTTTCCAAGGGAAGTTGGTTTGTGGGTGACCGATTTCAGGGTCATACAATATGTGCTTGTAAGATTGAAATAGGAGCTTTAACATGGAACCTGAAGGAACTATTTGGGAGAAGCATGTGAGGGAGAAGTAAGGTGCCCTCAAGCCCTATATGAAATTGGATTACTCCAAAAGCAGCCTAGCTGTTTTGTTGTTTGTTTTTTTTAAAAAAAAACAAATTGATTTTTTTGTAATAGATTATGTAGGACAACTAAGTCAGCATTAATGAACAGAGATGCTTTGGATGTGTTCAGGGTAAACTAGCTTTTAATATTAATATAGACACATTTGAAGTACAGCTGTGCCCTGGGCTAGTCTGCAACTTATTTAGGGATACCAATAAATTTCAGAGTGCTGTCTTGATGGAGCTATGCTGTCAGCTAAGGTATTGCTGCACAGCACTGCCTTCACCTTGTAGACATAACTGCTGCTTTGTATTTGAGACTGAATAAGCACCTTTTTTTCACATTCTTGTCAAATAGTGAATCTAACAGGTCATGAAGGTTGAATAACCTTCTGTCACTAGCGATGTGGTCTCCTCAGGTCAGAGTATTTGCGACACGTCGGCAGGCTTGTGCAGAAGAATCCGTGTATTGCATAAACTGGAGAATAGCAAGACCTGCTTTCATGAAGTTTCCTATACAAAATACTGCATTAACTTAGTCCTGGGAAAGGACAAAAATCCACTCAAAATTTCACTACCTAAGTAGTCTTCTAAACTTTTGTAATGCAAAACTAACCTGTTAAAAATTCTGGCAACTTATTTAAAGTTTATACAACATATAATCTTTTATTCAAATAAAACAAGTTGATTTTACCAGTCATCTTCCCCACTGCCATTTTAAAGAAATGTAAACAATTAGGAGAAGCTTCTCTGTAAGCAACTGAAACCTGTTTTGTTGTCAAGATGATAAACTCGTTTCTGATGACCGTAGCCATTCCTGCGGGGAGAGAAAACAATTTTTATTTGCTTCAGTTTATTCACATCAGTTTTGTGACTGAGCTCATTTATAGTTAAGCGAAGGAAAGCAAGAAAAGCTTGTATTTAATTAAAAATTAAGGTGTCTTGCTTCCTGTTTGTTTGTAATGATTAATGGTTCTTTAGTAGAACAGCTAAGATATTTCAAATGTGTTATTTATAAGACATTTCTGCTTGTGATTTGTCACATCCTCACAGTTATTTAAATCACTTTGACTTAACATCAGTCTGCTTTACAGACCGTACTGTAAATTTACAAGTATAAGCCAGGGCAATGATTCCATATGTACAGATAAGAAAAATGGAAGTCTTTAAGCCTGGACCCATTTCTACTTTGGTGTTTTTTTGTTTCTTTATAATACTAGGTTAGGAGTGTTAATCTTGTTTCCTAAAGCATGTTGATTTTAAGAAGTAGGGTTGTCCTCATCACTTCTTACGTGTGTGAGTTCCATAAAGGGGGAAAAAACAAGAACCTGAGTGTAACAAGCAAACATCCAGGTCTTTGCTTGGCTAATTGTTCTTAATACATTAAAAACCATATTAAAATAGTCCTTAAATTTTGTTTCTATAAGGATAGGTCTATAAGTTTTTATAAGGATTTTGTTTATGGCATACTTCATTGCTGTTGCAGCAGCTGCATACATTTAAAATGCTATGCATGTTAGATTCTGAGATTTGTGGGCATCAGTATTTTTCAGGTTTTGAATGAACACACAGAATGATTGTATTTGAGCTAAAAATCTTGTGTTTCCAATTTGTATTTGAAATGCTACGTGTTGCACTGTGCAAAATTAGAGGAGAATCTTGCTTACTGTGGGTTAAATGCCCATTTGCCCTGCTTTCTGATAGTAAAAATTTCTCCAAAAGCCTCTTGGATGTCTGACTTGTACTCCCCCAAAAACAGCCTAGATTGTCCTGTTTTGATTTCATAAGTGCAGTATCTCACAGAGATGCTTAGTGTGCTCTCAGGGTGTGAAATAGCCTGCCATATATTGATGGATCAAAATGGTTAGCAGAATCTGAAAGTAGCTTATAATGTAATGAAATAATACTGTCACTTGAATGTTTTTAATAATTGACCGCTTAAATAGGTTTAACCCCTCATGTCTCAAGAGAGAGATTTGCACGTATTTGGGAAGAAATTTGCCTTTAAGGACATTTTATACAGTGTCCATTCTGGTGATTTATCCACTTCTGTGATTCATCTGGTACTAGCATTTGACAGAGAAGGGGACTGTACAGTGGAATGGTAAACTAGAAGACAAATTATTCCTAACATAAGATGGAGGTTCGATTAAGGTCACTTTACCTTTTTACATGTAAGATACGTTTGGCCAAACTGTGCATGTGCAGTTTGCCTTTCAGAAATGGTAAGTTCTGTTTGTTGGTATTCAGGGTGCTACCCCTTAAAGTTTTGGAGCTGTGCAGCATATTTCACCATGTTAAGAGGAATGGACTTTTTTGTATTTGGGTAGGCAAATGTCGAGGAAAAGTGTGGAAGTCAGCAGCACGTCATGTCATTGGTTCAGTAGGTGGCACTCTTTCTCTGGAATTACTGTCCTGGTTAAGTTCTTGTAGGGACGATTTGGTGAGAGGCATTTGTTGAACGTGACATAAAATACTTTTCTATAACTTAATCGTTGGAGCTCTTGTAATGCATTTTCCAGAATAATGAGGTTGTTAACCTTTGCTTGTAATGTGTAATTGTATTCTGTCTACTGCAGTTCCTTTCATAATTCCAGTAGGATGCAATAGCATTATTCACTCTTTGCCTTAAGCTGATCTATAGATGTGCTGTGGAACGAGAAGGTGCTGGTTTGTTCGAGATGAATTAAGTGTTTCACACTATTTTGTAGAGTTTTTAAACTAAGTCTACATAAAATGTTGCAGTAGAAATATTGAAGTAAACTGGCTCTCCAGCAGTGCCTATTGTGGGAAACCAGAACCGCTGACAAAAGCAAGAAGTTGGCATCAATTTTAAAAGTGTGATAGGAATTTAATAAGAATTAGCATACCTGTAGTGTTCTTTGAAAATGTGTTTTCATTTTCTGAATACTTAAAATATATTCTGTTTAAGAGGTAGGTAGGGATAGGCATGCTGAATTAGCAAGCTATCGTAAACTCGGCTGTAATTAAGGTTGAAATGGCAAAAAACCCCCTCTCTTTAAAAAAAAAAAAATAATTAAAATAAAAAGTCTAAAAAATACTGGCTTGAAAAATTAACATTACAGTTTTCTGGTCAAGCCATATGAAATCCTGAGAAGCATCTTCAGAAGATGTGTTAAGTATTTATCTAATAGGGGGTAATCTTCCTTTAGTAAAATCTTCTTGTTGCAAATATAATTAGTTTTTTTCTGTAAGTTAAAGACATTTGGCCATGTTTATGAGTTTTTTTTAAATATTTCCATTCCTCATTTTTCTCTCATTGTGGTAAAATCAACAGTTAAAAAGCACAACTCCACAAGAGTAGGAGTTTAAATAGATGGCTTAATTTTTGTGACATTCATAAGGTGCAAAAGTGCTGTGGCTTTTTTCATATTCCAGCATTCATTTTCATAAAATGTCCATTTCAAAGAAAGTTACTATGTGGTTTTAATACACTATACAAACTTTTAAATTGTCACCAGGTGCATTTGCATGAAGTATGTGGACATAATGTCTTGAAATGAAACACTTAAGTTGAAGATTTACTGTATGTTTGGAATGCTTGTCTGATTAACCCTTCCCTAGCCCTTCTATTTATAAGTGTCCTTTAACATGGGCTTGTGTTTCTATAGTCGTTCTTGCACTATTAAGTCATGATGACCTTATTATGACAGATACTCAAAAGGAAAGCATCTATGTTGGGACTCAGTGCACACGTGTTTTTAACTTGAATATGAAGGCCCATAGTGGTATGCCAATACCTGTATAGGACTATATATGACAGTCTATTCTAAAATGTGGAGCTACCTTTTTTCATGTAAAATATTTCTAAATCTTGTTACTGGCCAGTTCAGAGACTGAAAGAGTTAAGAACTCAATATGAGGAGCTGTATGAAAGTATTTTGAGGATACCTCATATGCTGACTGGCATGAGGACACAAGCTTTCCTAGATCAAAAGATAAAATAGAAGGGCTTCTGTTTATGACACTTCTGGTAATACTGTGTTGGAGGTGAGGAAATCCATATGAAAAAGTGGGCAGAAGGGTGTTTGGTGGCACTTATTTGACATATGTCTGTAACAAGATATTTTACACATATTTTGTGTACTTAGGTAATCCTGTTCTGATTTCAGATTCATAGCAGAATATCCTCCTTGTGGACGCACTTGATCTTAGTGGGCCTCGAACAGTTAATTCCAAGTAGAATGGGCCCCTGTATTTAGAATGCACAGAAGAAAACTTACACAATGTGTATAGGTGACTCTGGTAGTTTCATTTTCTTACATAATCCATGTTTGATTGAGTTAGTTGCACATCTTTGAAAATCCAGTTTGCATTAGAAACATAGCCTGTTAAGTTAATGCAACTTTCTGCTGACAGTATGCTTGACATTCCATTTACTTACCTTCATTAATGTATATTGGCTAAAAATAGCTTGTTCCTTGTGGTATGTTTGACTTTCAAGCAAAAGCTTATTTCTGTATTAGAACTCTTAAGCTGAACGATAGTTTCATTTTCATAGTCCAATTAAGTTGTTTTATGGCAATATTATTCTTCCTTATAGTTAACACAAGAAGAATGTAGGGGTACACTATACAAATATAGAACTGAAGAGCTGGATATTGATGTAAGTCATTTATATTACTTCTTCCTTGGAAATGTTGGTATTTGTCCCTTTTGATAACAGTTTCCCCCTTGACTTTTGGGTTTGAAACTGACTTCCTAAGGTTACCAACAGAAACTGATTTGTGAAATTGAGGTGCATAGGACTGTTTTTATAATAAGCTTCTACCTTGCAGGAAGTGTTACATTTTAGGCTGAACTTTCAAATATTGTATGGGTTAAAAGGAATTGCTGCTAAAGAAGTTAATTACGTTAGAAGGGAAAAACATAGTTGTAGTTCAGTTGTATGCATGAGATGTAATTTCTCAGGAAATATGACTGGTACTCCAAAACTGAAATTTAGCATGGATAGTTACCATTCAGAGCATTGGGTTGCTAGTTACAAAAGAAAAGGGGTTTGGTGTAAAATGGGTGGTGAAACGTGCATACATATAGTCATACTATATATATACATACGTACACATCTAGTCATGCTTGCACAATGCAACTAAGAGTAGACATGGTTTAAGGCATGCTATCTATCCCAAGTAAAAAAGAAAGCAGGATTCCAGTGTTAACTTAAAGCTAAAAAGTCAGAGCAGTACAAATTAGATGAAGAAGGTTATTCAAAACCAAAACTGTTTCAAATTGGTTAGAGTGCACTGGACAGTTACTTGCTCAAACTGGAGCTGGAGTCTAACAGTTTTAGTCATAGACAAGCCTCAGTCGGAGCTAAAACAGAGCAGAGCATGGATAATAGTAACTAACTATTAAAAGCTACCATCTGAAATCAATCATGGGAAAGACTGTTAATGTATACAATATTCTTTGTAAACTGAGGAATATGTAAAGTAAAACAGTATTTAATACCTATTATTTAATTGTAAAGATTAGCTGTAGAATCATGAAATATGTTTTAAGCAATGCTGATTCAAGTTCTAACAATACTTACTTCATAGGAGCTTAAGAGGGTTTCTTAAGGTTAATTTGAAAATGCACGACTGATGCCTTCATAGGTTTAGAATTCATGTTTTGTGGTGATAGCATTTTATATAGATACATGTGAGGATTTATCAAGTTATATTTTGATTACTGAAGATGTTAAAAATTAAATCCTAATTGTGGTAATTTTCCATTATTTACTAGGCTAAGCTTAGCCGTTTATGTGAACAAGATAAAGTTGTGCAAGCACTGGAGGAGAAGCTTCAACAGCTACACAAGGAGAAAGTAGGACAATTGTGTTTATTACCTAAAGTGGATGTTATTTTACATGCTTATTATCAGAACATTGATAACTGAAATAAAACGAAAATCAACCCAATGATGCAGAACATTAAAAATAATTCTTTTTATTACAATAGTACACGCTTGAGCAAGCTTTGCTGTCAGCAAGTCAGGAGATAGAAATGAATGCAGATAATCCCGCAGCTATTCAAAATGTAGTCTTACAGAGAGATGACTTGCAGAACGGACTACTTAGCACTTGTCGAGAAGTATCGCGAGCTACTGCAGTAAGTAATACATTCTTGTTGTTAAAACTCATTGAAGTGTGAAATGATTGTCTTCATGTTCACATTCTTAATTGGATTGTCTTTGGTTGTTTTGCATTACCTTCCAACAAAACTCACTTGCCTTTTACTTGCTTGTATTTTTGTCGAAGACAGGTGGAACGCGATCTTTTCGTTATATTCATAGAGTAGTGTTTCTTCTTCCTCCCCCACCCTCCCCCTCCATGAGTTTAATTGGTTTTCATATTTATAATATGAAAAAATTATTATAGAAGAAATAAATAATGCAAATAAGCTTTTTTAATGTAATGACAGAATGGTAACAAGCACAAACTTTTAGCAGATATTCCATCAGATAGGTGACTTATTTTTAGCAAAAAAACTGCAGGATGATTTGCTCTGGTGAAATTGATACAAAATAGGCACTGAAATCGTGGTTTTAGTCTGAATGTTAGACTATGTGGTAAAAGGAATTTGTTGGACAAGGAAAACGGAATCAAGGGAAAGGAAATCCTCAAGATATACTTTCCCTCATTAAGTCTTTAATTTATGCTAAGTTGAGTAAATTGCTCAATGTAGGTTTCAAAAGTGAGATAGCAGAGTTGACCTCAAAGAAGATTTTCTTTTTGCACCTTCTCCCTTCTGGCACTTGTAGTTTCACATATGTAAAATAATGGTGTATTAGTAGGCCTGGGGTATTCACTGGTAAGTCATCCAACCCTGCCAGCAGGCAGGGTTGGGTGACTTACATTTGCCTTGCATAATGCATTGCATATACGCGCACATGCTGTGCACTCACACATACGTATTCTATGTGATAAGAGAGACAAATCTGCACCCATTTTTGTGGGTTTTCTGCCTCAGTGGAAGGACAACTTAAGACCCACATGCCTGCTGACTATACTGGCGTATTCTGAAGATTTTGTCCTTGCCTATCTTTTTTGTTTGTGAAAAGACAAAATGCTGTTTGTTTGAATTCCATTCAGTATGATTAGAAAATCAAAAAGCTGTTTAAAAATTGCATGTTCTAAAATACGTATTTATTTATTGCTGATATCTGTTAATGCATTATTTCTTGAAGTTTCATGCCACTGAATAAAGAAGAATATTACTCATGAATGTGCATGTGTAGTTCTTTACTTTTGTTATATACTTTTAGGAACTGGAAAGAGCTTGGAGAGAATATGATAAATTGGAATATGATGTAACTGTAACAAGGAGCCATATGCAGGAGCAACTCGATCGGCTTGGAGAAATTCAGGTGTGGCACAGGTCTTAAAGTACACTTAAGTCACTTTAATTTTCTGTGATTATGTTTAAAAACTGCACAGATGAAAAAAGGGTGACATGGTGCATTAACTTACAAGGTATAAAAAGAAATTAAATGTTTGTAAGTTCTGAGAGATCTTCAGATTCTCCTATTTTTTATTTATTTATTTTGAAGCTCTAGCACTGGTTTTCCTGTGTTTGGAAGCCTCCTCTTTCTGTTTCAGTGTTTCAGGGTCCAGAATAGGGTAGTTTTCACAAACCTTAATTGCTATGACAGTCATATTAAATCTTCACACAAATCCTTCCATTTAACTGAATATTCTAAAATGTAATTAAATCACTCTATAGCAGTAAATTAAAGTAAAAATATTCTAGGCATTGCTTCAGGTCTCACATATGAAGAGTTCTGATGTGTATCTTCTTTCCTTGCTGTTCTGTGGAGGATTGGACAGTTAATAAAAGTTCTGTATTTGTGAGGAGATCTTTGAGACACCACACACACGCGCACACACACACACACACACACAGGCTCAGAGATGTGCATACATTATCTGGAATAGGCAGATGGGTGTGGTCCGTGCTGGGGGGCATTAAAGGCTCTTTGCTCCAGGGATTGATTTTCTATGTAGCTATGGAAGGGAGATTACAAGGAAGCCCAAGAGCTGAGAAATTTGTGTTCTGCGGTCCAAAGTATGCATGACCATGAATGCAAATAGGCCTGCAGTTTATATGCTAGCATGCAAACACCATGTTTATCTCCACCTATTTTAGGGTTGGAACTCATGACTCCTTTTCTTTTGTTGTATGCAGGTCTCCCGTGCAAAGTTTGCTTGGGTTTTCTTTGGAGACAGTAGACAGAATACTATTCTTCAGTGGAGTTTGAACTAGGAAATTGCTGTTGAATTGACTGACACATCATGAAATTAGTTCATCTTACACTTTTTGTTTCTGACAATATTTGAATGTTGCACTTTCATGGGAAAGGAGGGCGTCATTACTGTGTTTTATGGGGAACGATATGCAGTGTAGTCTAAAGAAAGAAAACATTTTCTGTTTGTTTTTTTTTCTGCTTGCAATGTGTTCCAATTTATTGCCTATATGTGCTGTTTATTTACTGGCAGACTGAGTCAGCAGGGATACAGCGTGCTCAAATTCAGAAGGAACTGTGGAGAATTCAAGATGTCATGGAGGGTTTAAGTAAACATAAACAGCAAAGAAGCTTTTCAGAGGCAGGTAAGCTGGCTGGTTTTATCTTGTAGGAAGTGAAATGAGATCATCCACATTTTTAAAGGACAAGCTCCATAGTTGCTTTTGTATGTATGAAAAACTGGTACAATTGCTGAGAAAGGAAGCTGGTACTTTGTGTATTTGTTTGACAGCAACAGGTTACAGTTCAGATTTTAAAAGCTGTTTATTGAAAACAATTTTTCTTTTTCTTTCTATACCTCTTCCCCTCCCCCAAACAGGCATCATGGGATCAAGGACATTTTCAGCTATTAAATACAAAAATGAGGTATGGTTTTAGCATATTTACCATTTTAGCATCACATAATTTGTAATATACCTATGATAAAAGTGAACACTGTTATAACTGTTTTAAGGATATCTGAAATATGTATTCTGTATGTTTCTGTGGAAATATTGCATTATGAATTAGTTTTAAAGACTGATATCTCCACTAGTAATTCTAACACTTCATTTGTTCTGTGTCTTTATATTCTCACTGCTGTTTCTCTTTTCGATTTCTCACCTTTTCCTCTCCCTAGGCTCTTCCCTAGAAATATAAACCCTGATTTATGGATTTGTTTTGTACCCACCACACTTTTCATGGGAAGAAATACATTGCTTTATATGTTTATGCACATATTGAGCCTGGTTCTCAGATGGCCAGAGCACCCACAAGAACAGCTAAAACTGTGGGAGCTCCCAAATGTTCAATTCCTCTGAAAATCTGGCTAGAAGTTACAGTTTTAAAGGGACATTGTCATGGTTATCTAAAATGTCTGCAAAGTACATCTGGCTTACAGGACTTTCTAAAAGTCTAATTCATGTAAAAATCTTTAAAAAGATACTGAATTTAATTTTCAAAAAGATGATACAGAGGGTTCATACATGGCCAACAGAAAGGGCAGGTGTTAGAATTGAAAATCCTGAGAAACTCAATAATGAAGCTATTGAAGTATTTCAGTCCAGGTGGTGCTAATAAAATAAAAAGCAACCAAACGAACAAAACCATCCAAAGAAACCCAAATAAACTAAAACTGTCCTGGCCTTTTTTTGGGGGGGAATTTTTTGGTTGGGGTTTTTTGTTGGTTTTTCTTCTTGTTTTTTCTTTTTTTTTTTCTTTTTTTTTTTTTTTTTACATGACATTGTCCCTTTAATTCCAAAATCTACAGCTCGTATAGCTATGGTAATATATTTTTCTTTTTAAGTTATAAATAATTGTAACAGGTGTGCACATCTAAATAAGGTGACTATTCTACAATCTTTAGGAAGAGGAAGTAGTCCCACCTCGTCCTCCACTCCCTCGGTCCTATGACTTTACAGAGCATCCTCCCATAATCCCCCCTCTGCCCAGTGATAGCAGCTCCTTGCTCTGTTATAGCAGGGGCCCAGTACATCTGCCAGAAGAAAAGAAGATTCACCAAGTTCAAGGATATCAGAGAAATGGATCTTACTGTGTAAGTGGCTTAAACTGCCACATTGTTCTTGAAGCATCCCCCTTCCTTTGTGCAGTCACAACTTTTATTTTGTCATCTGGCTACTTTTGTCTTATGTTTTTACCTTTGTTTACTTACTTTTATTTATAGCTCCATCATTTGCTCTTCACTTTTTCCTGTCATATATTCTGTGCGTATACAAAATGTCTTAAGACTTAAACGCCTGTATTTTCTGAGTACATTTCAGAAAAATCAGATTCTTCTGCTCACAAGTTCTTACAAAACTCTAGGCTCAGAATCAGTTTTTGCCAAAGCCTGATACCAGTTTGTTTCCTGAAGATCATTTTAAAGGTGGGGGTGGAAACCCCCTCCACATTTTTATGGCAGGGTTTTTTCTGTAATTTCCGAAAGCCTGAAAGTGTTGTTACTATTATTAACTACAAAGAAATTCTGCTGCAGTGGCACTTGAACAATCAAACACTGTCTTAAAGTGAGAGCAGAATTGTTACAAAGTAACTGTTTTGAGTCTTAAGACATAAATGCATGTCTAAAAATGCCTGTTTGTTTACCTCATAACTTGTCGTTCCTCAGGGTCCTGATTATAGGCTTTATAAGAGTGAACCAGAGTTAACTACAGTAGCAGAAGTGGATGAGTCTAATGGTGAAGAAAAGACAGAACAGATTTCAGAATCAGAATCTACTGCTAAAGGTTTGTCTCCAGGCACAGTGTTTACAACCTTTCGGCCTTTTCACAAGGAATACAAAGCTTTAACTGTATTATTCAAGCTATATCATCTTTCATATTTTTGTAGCCTGTCCCTTTCTTAATATGATGAAAGAGCTTCCAGATAAAATAATGATTTAATTACATGACGAGAAAGATTTCAGTCAATTACACCGCAGAAAAATCAAACATTACACTCACCAACAACCCTGAAATCCTTATTGTCACCATGTCTAATCACATCACTCACATTCCCCACACACCATTCCCTTGAACAATTACCCATTTTATGTTCTTGCCCTTGAACAATTACTCAGTTTTTGAATCAAGCTCCCAATGTTATGTCACTGGAACGTCCAAAAAGGCAGCACCACAGAATTTTCGGGCTCTCATAAGGCAGGGAAACAATGTCTTTTTCTTTTTTTAATCTTGTAATTGTTGAATTGCCTTCTGTCCTCTGATATAATAGGAATAATGATCATGACCTTGGAGTGTACAGACAATAAAGGTCTTTGCAATTGCTAAATGCTTTAGATTCTTCTCTTCATCTAACTTCTATAAAAGCGACTAATTGCTTGGTAGAGTCTTTTACCAGGAAGTTCTTCTCAATTCTGTTTGTTAAAACACACAGAATAGTTTGTTAAAGGTGACTTCAGGAAAAGCACTTGAGCACCTCCCCAAAACCATATTAAGAGCTTTTAGAAAAAGTAGCTAAACTTACCCATTTTTTATACCGTAACGGTTGATGTTTCCAGTGCCAGCAAGATCACTGTCTTCTGTTCTGGTAGTTGGACTAAGTATGTCCACAGCAGGCTGGTGCAACAGTACCAGAATTTGAGGATGAAGTATGATCATATAAGGATATTATTTTCATCAGAATTGTAATAGAGGTTTTTAAAAGTAACATCAGCAAACAGTTCGGTGTGAACAATGTGAATGGCCCTGTGATTTAATTAAGCTTGTGCTTACCAGACAATTAGACAACTCAAATTCACTGTGGTATTTGCTGAAGTATAATATTTACTTAGATAGTAAACATGTTTTAACTTAGTGGTAAAAAATGCAAGGTTTGGCCTGAGATTTGCTAATCATCAGCCATCTAAATTGAGGAAGTTGCCCTTCTGACAACTGGCCTAGTTTTATTGACCTGTGATGTTTCAGATTATTTAGAGTAATTTGTGACAAGAGGAAGAGTAATTATCACAACAATATAAGAAATCCTACACTGACTGTATAAAAAGCAAACCAATGCTTTTTGAGCACCCCAGTCTGCTTTCTATCTTGTTCTGTAAAGACAGAAGTAATTTTATTATGTCCATTTGTAGAAAAACGGTCCTCAGTAAGGGAAGGCAATAATACAGATTCTTCTAATATAAATAATATTTAGGGACAGGGAAGAGAATAGCTGCAGCAGTAGCAAGCAGCAGGAGACTTTTTATCTTCTTAAACAACAGGATGAATCTGGTTTACCATAGTTGTGTTATATCATCTGGCCCAAGCTTTTGAGTATGTGAATTTCCAAACTGGTATGTCTTGTTCTGAGCATTCATTTATACTAACAATTCCCTGTGGTAGGAAAAATATAACCATTCCTGGTTGGTTGGGGTTTTGTATAGTCCATATGCCATTACAACTATGTGGTGTTTCAACAAACATTTTTATGCCATTCTATCCTAACAGTTTATTAGGTAGAAAGGAAACAAACCGAGGCAGCTCTTCTCTACAGTTTTTCTTCCCTGCCTTTGAGGGTGGCTCTAAAAATTAGTAAACTTTAGAGGAAATTTCAGAATGTTTTTCTAGTTCGCTGTGTGCATGACTGTACTAGAGACTTCTCATATCAGCCCTTTCCCTCTCTTTTCAAAAGTCAACAAAGAGAAATGTTTTAATGGGACTATGTAAAGTAACCCTTACAGCTGTCTGCGAGCAAAATAATATGTATGACCTGAGTGATACATAAAGGTGACACAAAAAGAAAATGGAGTTCTTCTGTATCTTATCTTCTTAACGTCTATAGGAGACCCAAACTGTTGGCTTTGTAGTTTTTGTTTTGAATGATGGATTTGGCATTCAAGTACCTCCAGACTATTTTGTAAGCCTCAGGCTAGGGGCTAGTCATCTGCCTGTGCACCTTTACAGAGGTGAGAGTTACGCATTAAGATCTTTGCTGTCTTGTGAATAACAGTTTCCAAGGCTGACAATACGCATTTCCTACAAAACAAGAAACTGTCTTGGCAATGTTTTGCATATCACTTAGTATGTTGCTTTACCGTTTCACAGGCTCACATTTTCCTGTGGGAGTTGTACCACCCAGAACCAAATCGCCAACACCGGAGTCTTCAACGATAGCTTCTTATGTCACTTTGAGGAAGAATAAGAAGATAGAGCTAAGAACGGTACTTCAAAATAACCTTTGACCATTGATGGACAGTGATTTGTTCATTTCGAAGTTTAATTTCTGTAGTTGCTTCTGAAGTTGTAATTTCTAATTTTCCTTACAAAATATTCACTGTTATAAAAATGTACTAGGTTAATGGAAACAGCTGCAGAAAGAACGACAAAGTTATAAAGGTCGTGTATGTTAAACTGCATAGAGACACTCAGACTGGGCAGGAACTAAACGGCAATGGTAAATCTACTAAGCTACTGAAGTTCACGCTTGAGTTGAAAGGACAGGAAGCATCTTAGATTAAAACTTGCAAGAACTTGTATTTGGCTTCTGGGGAAATGTAACAGCCCCAGACATTTAAAAATACTGTCTTTTATTTATTTCATTACTAAAATGATTTGGGAAATACCTAAAGCAGTCTGAAAATAATGATACAATAAGCAGTATGAGGGTAATAAGCCTGAAATTTCAGATTAGAGAGTCCTGTAGTCTCCGGGTTGAAGACAGATGTTTAAATGTCGTTCATGCAAAAGGGAGGAAAACTTTTGCCATAGTTACAGCATGATTAAAAGAAGAGAAGTTGTAGGAAGAATGGGAGAGGAGAGAATGGGAGAGGCTGTTAACTGGAGAAAGAGTACCACTTCTCAGAAGGGAAATCAGTTACTGTGAATGTACTGAATGCAGCTGATTAGGCCAAAGTAATTTTTTGTTTGTTTGTTTCTGTCCTACAAAGTACTACAAAGTACAGATCTATCTGCAAATCAGTGAATTTCAAGAACAGAGTAGGTATAGTGGTGGTTGTTATTTTGGGAATAATACAATGCTTAGAATGATGCATTTTTAAGTGCTGATAAATTCACTTTATTTCAGCCTGCCCTTGCCATTAAATGGTGCCCAGCTGTAGTTTTTCTTGAAATGAAAAGGCAGAAATCACTATTAGACCAACTGGTATAAACATCCTGGATCATTAAATTTTGATTATATTTCTGTCTCAGTCAAGTCACTTGTGTTTGCCTGTTGCATAATGTCTGGTAAATGGTTTCAACTTTATAGGCTGGCTTTGAGAGAGCATCTAGCATTCTTTTAATGTTTATCATCAATGGTGGTAGTGTCAGTGTTCAAAAAAGCAGATTATTCCTTCACTTTAATTTCATTGTTATGAAATTCATGTTTCATTTATTAATAACTGTTTCTTTTACTTTCTGCACATACACAAGAGCTTTACTTCCCTGCTATTTTTCTGCTTTCTAGTAAATCATTAGGTGATCTTTTCTGATAAGATGACAACCTGAACAGTTTAGAACCTTGCTTTTTAAATTCAAATATATATATATTTTTTCTTCCATTTAAGGAAAGACCAAGAAGTGCAGTGGAGCAGCTGTGTCTTGCAGAAAGCACACGACCTCGAATGACTGTGGAGGAACAGATGGAAAGAATAAAGAGACACCAACAAGCTTGTCTGAGAGAGAAGAGAAAAGGACTCAATATTATTGGCGTTTCAGACCAGTCTCCCTCACAGAGTTTGTCGTTTGTCAGAGATAATCCATTCAAATTGGCACAGGTGGGTCCCACATTACTCAAAAACTTCAATGTGTCTGGTTAAAAAAAAGTTAGTTTAAAAGTTGTTCTTTCTCCAAGATCAAATGATACCACAAATGTCTATACTCTGCTTGTATAGAGTAACAGTCACAATTTTCTACCACACACAGGAGAAAGGGAGATGACAATCTTCATGCTTATACCTTATGATAGTAGAAGTCACTTCTTTGTCTTTGGGGAAAATAAATAGTTCAAATCCGCATATGTTTGATTATGCGTTGTGATGTTTGTTAACAGGAGGTTTTGTCAAATTTAGCAAACATGAAATTGCAGGCTCTGTGACAAAAAGCAGTGTCAGGCAGGATCATGATTCGGTTGGTGTATAAATCATGAAGATTTTTCTGCCATGTAATATATTCAAACATCTGTAACATTTTTAGGTAGGAATGTATGTTTATGATGATAGCTCTTAACTAGTGGTGTTTTGCTGTTGTGTTTTAAGCCCATAAATACATGAAACTAGAACCCACCCTTTTGTTAAGGCAAAGAACTGAGTTTATTAAAGGCTAAAGGGGTGGGAACAGAAGAGAAAGAGGTAACTGCTTGTCATTAACGAGGAAATACTGCCCTGAAAAAAAAAACAAACCAAACAAAAAAACCCTAAACCCAGGCTAGTTGATGTTATACGTGTTATACCAGTTATATACTTTCTAACTAGTAAGAAATAATTTTCTTTTTCAATAGCTTAATAACATTACCTTTTTTTCCATCTAAAATAAAATATGCTGGCGTACTTCTTTCCTCAGACCATACTGCTTTTTGGTTTGTATTTCTTTTTTTTAATTTCTGTCTGGCATGGAAATGCCTTCTTTTATGTTTTGTAGACATTTTAACATCAGATTTTCCAAAACCAGATTAAATACATTGCCCTGTTAAGAAGTCAACATATTTCCAAAGAGTTTTTAGGTTTGGGGTTTTTTCCCCTGAGTATGCTAAGCTGCCTTCGGAGCTATACAAAAGTTACTTTTCCTTCAACAACACTGATCCCCAGAAGACACTGAATTCAAGTTTTGCCTTTGCTTTAGAGCATCTGCATTTAGTCTGACATCATGTATGGTATATATGAAGGGGGCTGCAAATACTTCTGTGATTAATGCTGCCTTTCTCAAGAAGAGGATGTGCAAGTAAAGCTTTGCAGATGTTTGTTCCTGTCGTTTTTAGAGAGGTGGTTGTACTTTACTGCCTTCCTATGGTATCATTTCATACCTCAAGGTGAGGAAACTGCAGTTATGTATGTGTCATACCTGGTTAGCTGCACATTGTGAACAGAGTGGGTGAAAGTGGCCAAATCCTCTGTGCCAGCACCACATGCTACACAGAACTCAAAAGAAATTTGCTCATGCCAGCATGTCTTCTTCATGAGATCAGTGCCACGTGGATGAGATAAATTTATAGAATAAGTGAGAATGTGCCTGAGTTGAATATTTAGCTTGTAGTCCATGCTACAAAATCACTCTTTCTATCACAACATTAATTCTTCAGAGTGCTATTTGGCAAAAAGCTTCAAGATGAGGTATTACACTGCAGTAATAGCTCTTATTTTTAAAAGCATTATTTCTATGCCTCTTGATTTCTATACAGGAAAATGGTACAATAGCATTGACTGCTGAAAGTCGATTTTCAACTGGGTTTGGCTATTTAACTGGAGGAAAAAAATATTATTTCATAAACGGCCTACTGAGTAATTTTTAAGTCATTACCAAAATACAAAAGGAAGCTGCTTCACGATTGATACTGTTTGGGAGAAGTGTATAATGTGTTGGGAAAGTAAAGATTTGTGAACTGACTTACATGGAATTTCCTCTTAACAGAGTGCTTGTGCTGAATCACAGGAATTCAGCCACCAGATTTACTGCTTTCATGGCTTGTATTTTTCTCAGCCCTCGTGCTTAGTGTGATAAGACTTACATGAACCTCACTTCAGTTCAGTTTGCTACTCTGCCATGATGGCCAGCTCACAATCTTAAGTCACCTCTACCATTCTTCCCCAAATTTTTTATATCAAATTAACCTCTCTGCAGTGGATATTTTTTAAAAAAAATCAGTGCTTATGAATGCAGTTAAGGATGTTACTAAGCCTCTCTGTGACTGAGTTAAATACACATGAGATTTCAGAAGAGAAAGGTGACTAATAGAAATGCTGGAGATTGAGGGGGCAGGCAGGTGTAGAAAGTACAGTAATCTTACAGAGGAAAAGATTGTTAGACTGAACTCTTTCGAAAGGTACAAAAACTGGCAAATTCTAAGTTCTTAACAATTTCCATTTTCTTTATTGCAGTGTGGTATACTTCGGGCTTTTTAAGTTTGGGTGCTTTTTTAATCACTCACAGCAGACAGCACAGGAGTCAGAACTGAAATTCTGGTGACTTTTGTAAGAATACATCTATATATCAATTTTGTTCCACAGAATCGAAAAAAGGATGATACAGTATCTAATAACATGAAGGAATTAGAGGGCACCAGTAAAGAGAATCATTTGAAACAGAATAATGGAAGTCCTGGTGAAGAAGCAGCACACCTAAAACATGATGGAGAAAAAGAATGTAATTTGGGTTTTACTAAAGAGGTACTAAACTGTCCTTTATTGAACTGTACATCAGCCTGCCTTGCAGTAGAAACATTTTGAGCCACAGACTGCATAGTATGGGAAATCGAACCGGTTGCTTTTGCTTGGAAGATTAAGATTTCTTTTGGGATATAATAAACACTCTATGGAGAAATACAGAATTGTATCATGAGATCATATATTCCTATATATGGTCTTCCTAAATTTCATTTTACTTAACTTTTTCTGTTACTCTCTTGATTGATTGGAAAAGTACAAATCTTTCTTTACTTCTTTGGAAACAAACCTGATACTAATGCATCTTTAAATAATAATTGTTGATCTGTTCACTGCTTATGATATCCCACTGTAGGGGTTTTTTCAGTCATTTAGTACACCTGACTTTTTGTTTGGTTGCCTATAGTGCATCAAATAGTTTAGAGCAAGCAGAATAAATCTGACACAACAATTTATACATGGAAGTGGGCAGTAGCTGTAGTTTGTGCTGTTTGGCCACTGGATTGATTTCTGTCTTGAAATAGTCTCAGACTCACTTGGCAGTGAGTTACCTTGGTGTTTCTGGTACCAGAGTGCCCTGAACAAACAGCAAAATCAGACTGACTATGAAGAATAGATTACTGGAGTTGTTTCTACGTAACTGTATCCTGCTTATAGTTTAATATTTTTTCAAATCTTGTTTAGAGGGTTTTTTTCTTCTTTTCTATCCATATTCTTCAATTAATCATCCTTTGCTTTTCTTTTTCCTCACGCATTTTTCCTTTTGTTTTCCTATTTTATATTTAGCTTTTTTTAAACATGTATCTGATGGAGAATGGTATGAAATCAAAAAATTAACATCTATTGTTGTTATTTCAAAATACTTTCTGTTGCAAGTCTGTTGCTTTGTTAAGCATGCAAATCTTCTAAAGGAAAATTTTGTAATATACTTATTGGTTATATCCAGTCAGACCATTAAGAGCAATATATTCCAGTACCTGGAGTCTCTGTTGTCAGTGTGAAGAGGCATAGCATAAAAAAAATAGGCAGGCTACAATCCAGAGAGTTCAGAGAAGTTCTGGAAGTTATTAAGCCAACCCCTGCTCATAGGCTCTGGTATAAGATTCAGGATAACTCTATTAACCTGAATGGTATTGATAAAAATTTCTTAAGTTATGTAATTCTGAGTTACTAAGTATACATGATGGCAAAATTTGTCTGTTAATAAAACTGTTTCCTCATACTGTATTTCTTATCTGCCACTCAGTATGTGTTACAGCTTTCTGTTTCATGATTTCAATTTTTTTATAGCTGACAAAAACTGATGATCTTTTATCACATGCACATGTTGTATCTGATTCAAAAGAAGTGAGTAATGAAGAGAAATCAGAAAAGGAAAAGAAAAATAAGTTGGAAGAAACACGAGATGGTGATACAAGGTAAAAATAAAACAAGATGTTCAGAAGCTATTTAAACTTACACACTGTATTTATTAGCTGAACGGACCGAGCAGCCAATGAAATACTGCCATAAATACTTAAAAGGTATATTCATATGGTTTTGACTGGTTTACATATGGAGAGATCTAGTGAGAAACCCAACCAATGTAGGGATTCGGTAAGAGGTGATGAGGTGGTTGGTGAAACAATGTTTAAGTATTGCCCCAGTTATAAATGGAATACTTCATAATCCTTGCTTTGGGATACAAAATGTGTTTAGTAATGTCAGTTCAAGCTTTGTATCAGTTTATTATGAAAGCTTCTGCCAGGGCTTCCACAGCAAGCCCTTTACCACTGGTATTTAGGAGCAGACTAAACAGCTTATTCTGGATCTCCTGCTTTAAGTTTTACTTCACTATGTTGGAGCACTGCAGAATTAGATGAACATTGTGCCTTGGATATTCTTCTTTAAGGATTCATAATGGTAATGTAAGTTGCACTGCAGATCCTGTGTGAGTTTTTACACTAGGTTATAACTTTCTTACAGCACCTTTCAGCAAAATGGGTATCACACAATAAGAAACTGCACGAGTATGTAAAGGAAAGGAATTAAATTTCCAGTACTTTTGAGAGGTTTTTAAGTCTAACTTTACAAGGCAAAAGGGTTTCAAAATACGTGCTGACTTTACGTTACACAAACTTGCAAGTTGCAACTGTTTTCTATTAACAGAAGAAAATTAAGTTGTAACTCCTATACTTAGTGGTTAACACCTGAAATTAAGTTGAGTGAGTTCTAAACACTGTGCTTTTTTAACCAGCTTCCAGAGTGTGACTACAGTTGTAAACCACAAACCCAAAATGAGCTCAGAAGAAAGTGAAGTAGTTAGTGTTCAAGAACAAGAAGGAATTATGTCTTCGTTTGAATTAGCAGCACAGTCTTCAAAAGGAAATAAGGCAACAGCAGGTATGGAAAAGAGTTTGACTAAAGCATAACTTATACAGTACATATGTAAAACTTCATTCATGTCTTTTGATCCTCTGAAACCCTTGTGAATTGAAAGTGCTGAGCTAGTCTAGATACCAAGTGTATGGTTTTATAACATAGAGAAAAATAATTTCCCAGTGGACAACTACAGAAATCCCATTTTTGTGAGGTTTTAATGTAGGTTTTATGGTGGCATTTAATTCAGGGAGTTAAATAACTATTGCCAGAAACTGAGTCATACTATAGTTGTTAGTTGGAACAAATCCTTCCCTATTCATCTTGTAGAACAGCATTTCAATCCTGGGTATGTATAGAATATTTCCCCTTACCTCCTTGCAAAGGGATGGCCCAAGATTGGGGAATCCTTGAGAGTTTCCAATATATCTAGTAGATTTTGAACAAGCAAGTAGAAGCCCCCAGTTTGGTCATGTTTCCAGGAATAAGAAAAGATGAAGAAACAGAATACACTAACTGGTAGAATGACTGGTGTGAACTACTTTGCAAGAAGAGAAGGCTGGAATAAAACAAAAGTGTTTGCAAAGAGATTAAAAAAGAAGAGGGGAGTGTGAAGGGGAGGAGGAAGATAGAACACAGGACATTATTAGGCTATTTGGTGATGGGAGCATTTAAGTAAGCCAAATGGTTCAATTTATGGATATAAAAGGTGACATGGACCTATGTAGTGCAGCCAGCAGTCCCTTCTGTGATTTGATAATCAAAACCAGAACTTGTAAATACATTTTGTAATATTCAGCAGAATAAAAAATGCTTATTTAATCTCAGCTGAGATATAAAGGTGGGTCTGGGACTATCCTGACTAGTTAAATTTTACTTCCCCCTCCCCACCCCCTTTGCAACATAAATTACATATCTACATTCATGTGTCCGTTGTCTGTTCTTTTGGTGTTCTACTAGTCATTCATAGGTCTGAGTAATGATCTTTCTTGAGAACAGCTATGCTCTCATCTGAAGTTGTGCTTATTGTGCTAATCAGATTTTAAGTCTTTACTTGTGTAACTTTCATTTCGTTCTTCGTATATTTATTATGGCTTGAAATCATGCCTTCTGTAACTTGTATTCTTATTTATCTTGCTGTATGACTTGCAGTGAAAAGTCTGCCTTCTTCACCAGAATCGTCATTGTCACCAGCTCCATCTACACAGACACAGCTCACAGAAGGATCACATTTCATGTGTGTATAGTTACAGAGAAGTACGTCTTTCTTTTCCCACCCCTTGTGCCATTTTTCCTGATGTTTTTCTAAGTACATATGTTCCAGTTATTTTTCTGAGAAACATCTGTAGACAGGACTTGGCAAGACAAAGTTACCTGCAGAGTTGAATATAAACTAACCAGAAATCAGAACAAATACGTGTATTGATTCGGTTGAAAGGAATGTATTCTCTATCCACGTACAAAAAGAAAAGACTAATTGGCTTATCAAGCACATTCTCCACAACAGGCAAGATAATAACCCTTTGAATTACGTGAGAGACCTGAGATGTTACAATTAGATACCCAGATAAGGTATGAGCATCAGTGCTCAAGTGCAAATGAATCTTGATGCTTCTTCAGTCATGGTAATAGGCAACTAGAGCTAGGTCTCTTAGTGATGCATAAGAGGCAATGGTTAATGGCCCTGCAGAGTTTGTGGCTTAAACCATAGATGACTGAGGCATAACAAAGGAAAGGGGAAAAAAATGAGGGTGGAAGAAATACAACACAAAACTTTTTTTTTATTATTTATTGTTTCTATAGAGATAGTCCTACGCAGCTTTTCCTCCTTTGTCATAGGAGATGATTTCTTCTAGGAATCAAGTTAGAAAGCATGAATTAGGCTAGATTTACATGTTCCTACCTATAGCGTTACCCACTTAATGAATGGAAATGGAAATAAAATAAGCTATTTGTTTTAAACATACAAGTGTTTAAAGAAACTAATAGAATACCAATGTGAATGCTTCAGCACTTTACTAGCAGTTAAATCAATCCACATTTCTTTGTTGTCAGGAAGTACCTATTTAAATAAGATTTCTACTAAAAGAATGAGCTTTCTTTAAATAGTAATGTTAAATGCCATAGCTAATGTAACTTAAGAAAACTTTAAGATGTTTTCAGTTCTTTAGCATGAGGAGATCTAAAAATGCATTTTTTCATTTACTGTCCTAATCTTCATCACCAAGCTTTCACCTTAGCAAATTTAGACTTACTATTCATCACAGACACATTTCTTGTATAAACTGTGGGCAGGAAACTATATTCTTAACAAAAAAAAATAGGAAAAAAAAATTTTAATCTTTTTCTCCTTTTAAGAGAGTGTAAAATGCACTCTTCACATTCAGTACTGACACCTGTGTTGCTGACTTCCTGATGGATGCAGTCTGCCATGATTAGATTTAGCTTGGACTTTTGTACTTTATTCAGAAGATTTATTACAGAACTGTAAAAAAGACAAGTGGGACTATTCAGCTTTTCTGGAAATGCTGCTTTATGTTAATGCTTTTCGGTTTCACTGTATAATACATGTGCATCTTTTCAAGTAGGACAAACATTACCCCATCAACTCAGTTTCAGGTCAGTAGTGAAACTGAAACTGCACTACTGAATTTTGTCTGTAGCCACAGCACGCCTGTCTTGAAAGGGGAAGCAACCCATAACTGCACTAGAAATTTATTACCAATTACATGAAGTTGCTGTCAGCTCTTGTCATTAGCTCCAGTGATCAGATCAGCAAATGCTTTTTTTATTTGTTTTTTTGAGGATTTATGCTAAATACAAGACTAGCAAAAGTGAATCATTCTTACAGTAATCTGCTTTTTAACTTAGAATCGTAGATTCACAGAGTGGTTTAGGTTGGAAGGGAGCTTTAAAGATCATCTAGTTCCAACCTCCCTGCCACAGGCAGGGACACCTTCGACTAGACCAGGTTGCTCAAAGCCCCGTCCAGCCTGGCCTTGAACACGGCCGGGGAGGGGGCAGCCACAATTTCCCTGGGCAACCTGTGCCAGGGCCTCACCAGCCTCATAATTGAATAATTTTTTTCCTAATATCTAGTCTAAATTTACCTTCTGTCAGTTTAAAGCCATTCCCCTTGTCCCGTCATTACATGCCCTTGTAAAAGTCCCTCTCCAGATTTCTTGTAGGCCTGTTTAGATACTGAAAGGCTGCTCTAATGTTTCCCCAGAGCCTTCTCGAGGCTGAACAAGCCCAGCTCTCTCAGCATGCCCCAGCTATCTCAGCCTAACCTAATGCCCAGTCCTTGACATCCCGCAACTTGGTGTATCTGCATAGGTAATATTGCAGCTGTTACATTCCCATGCTAACTACACTTCTACAACTAAGCTGTAATGGCTTATGACAAAATGGTGTTACTGGGATGGCACTTGTAAAACTAATGCTCGCTAAAATGAAGAAAGGATTCCAGAATTTAAAACACATCCATTTTTGCTGTTCAGTGTTTTGAGTTAGAAAAAGCATTCATCTATCTGCATATACAGTCCACATTTCTTTGCTGCACTTTATGTCTCTGTTGGTTGGAGCTCCGAAACAAATCCATGCTGTGACTTGGGTCTAATATACATAGATGTATGAGGCATAGTCTGCTTGCCTGCAGTGTTTACTGCCCCTTTCCTTCTGGGGCTGTCCTCCCAGTATTCCAGCACTTTGTGCTTTACTGAAAGATAGTTTTTCTAGCATGTGAGAACACAATGTCTGTGAGATGCCAGAAATCCTGTGCAGCAGAGGGAACTTCAGAGCTGCGGGATCAGCCCTGCTCGTATGCAACCGAATTTTTCAGGCAGCATCTGGAAAATGTATGGTAGATTTCAGAGAATAATGAGGTAATACCTATATTTGGCTTTTATGGTCAATTAGTAAAATGATACTCCTGGCACAATGCCAGGGGAATTCAGCATAGGAAATTGATGGTACAGGGTATTGTAGGACTAAGGAAAAACCCATTAACACAAAGCTACTTTCATTGTCACGGCTCTTGCTTTGCAGAGACAAATCTGGATGTACACCACTAGCATTGTTACATTTTAAGCATTATATTTACACTGAGTAATGGAGGGATAATGAAATTTTATACAGCACCTGGATTCAAAGCTTAGAAACATTTTTACTAATGAACTGTTAAAAGCTATTTACAGAAGTCCTTTCAGCTATTACCAAAATACAGCAAGCTCTGGGTAGAGCACTGAAACTTCAGAACACCTTACAGCTACACTGCCATTACAGAGTAGAAACTGAACAGTACCGCATCCTCTTCAAATCACGCCTATCATTTGTAGGAGCAGTTAGGGACTTTGCTATTATTACTGGTTTTACATGAAGAACATTTGGAGATGGCAGGATAAAAAGAATAAGCAGACTTTCATACAAAGCTGTGTAGATCTGTAAAAGCTCGCTTTTGCTTCTTGCTGTCAAAGTATCTTGAAGCAGTATTATGCATCAGGAAAACTGATTTTGGAAACAACTGATTTGTGAGATACTTTTATTATGTTCTACACCATTAACAACTACTGTTAGGATGAGACCAGAAATTCCTTGCTGTATTTAACCCCGGGAACTGCTTTAAACAATATTCTGTTGGTGCTAAAAGAGAGTAACTTAATCTATGTCTGTCTTTCAGCACTAATGGCTTCTGTTGAAACAATTCATGCCTGAGATGTATGGACCTGACCTTTGAAAATAAGAGAAGATATTGTACAGTATATTTTAAATCTATGAAATTCATAGTTCTGATGCTTTTGGCCACAGAGCATCATTTTATCACTTCCTGGAAAATGTTTATTCCAAGAGAGCTTTAAATGGCCCACATGTACACTCAACAACCTTCAGATTGTTCTCCTGATACCAGCTTGCTGCTATGACTTCTGTGCACATAAAATAAAGGCTCTTTTAATGTGCAGCCTACAGTCAGAACTTTATTTGATATTCTCCAGAATTTAATGTTCTTTTAACTATGGATCATATAAATTTACTTTTTTGCTTCTTTTAGATGCATAATTCGGTTAATTTTACATATCACCACTAAACCTTGTTTTACACCTTTTGAACATTACAATTTATTGTTCTAACATTTTATTTGTAAAATTTTTATATATATATACATATAGATATATTTAAAATGTGCCATTTTTATTATTGCTTAGTAAAATATGTCCTGTTTCTGCTGTAATTATTTCTTGGTCAGGTTGCAATGTCAGCAGTTACTGCCACACCTCTGTCAACATATGCATTAATGTTAGTGGTTACTTTTTCTTCAGTAAAATGGAGTGTAGGTATTTTGAGGTACTGGGCTTTTCCTTCATTGGGTTAGGGTGTGTACAGCAATAAGCAGGTTTTCAATCCAGTACTTAGTTTGTGTACAAATGTAATTATGTTCATTGTGTATATATTATACAATGAGCAAATATGATGTAAGTATAAGAAGCCACTTATTGTTCAAATACGAATGTTCATATCCCATTTCTTTTATATCATATTAAATAAATGTTGATGTTCTTAAGGACTTGTATGGTTAGTATTTCTTCCAGCAAACAGATGTCACACCGTGTTCCACCTTTTGATGTGGGGAATGCAACAATTCTTGTCTCTTTGATGACATCACCTGTCAACCAGAGTAGCAATGACAGACTTAAGAGATTCCAGTCTTCCTCTACAGGAAAGAATAAGGCTGCAACACAGAACAAAAAGACAGCCTGAGACTGAGGCACAAGAAATACAGGTTCAGCTCCTGACTCTCCCAGACTTGTATCATGATGTTGGAATAATCACTTAGTCATTCTGTACCTCCATTCCCTGCCTGTTTACTTGAGTGGTAATAGCCTGTCTTACTGGGGTGTGGTGAGTAGTAATTCAGTATTTGCAAATAGTGAATGCCACGTTCAGTGGGGTTAAGGAGAAAGAAGTGTGATGATTCCTTGAGGCTTTGACATCTGCAAAGCATCTCCCAGAAACTGAAAGAAAACCTGAAATAATTTGTCAAGTGTCATCACAATACAGATGTTACTAACTTTACTTTTCCATCCCACACAGCTGTTAGAATTTGCCCAAGACAAAAGAGGTTTAGAAGAGACTGATGAAAAGATTTAAGGAAATTTGAATCTAGGATGTAGAGCTAAGAAAGCTTTCAAAGGTTCAGGCAACTGCCATGTGCTTCAATGAGTGTGCCGTAAGTGGCAAGGCAAGTTTTGTAAGATGACTGCCAGCTCTTGTGCTTTTTTTATCATACAAATCATATCCTGTTCAAGTTAATATTGCTGTACTAGAGACCATATAATTAACTGAGCTTTTCCATAGAAGAGTGCCTGAGAGTGACACACAGTTTGAAATCCACGCTTTATCATTGCCCCCCCTGTCGGAGTTTGTGTTTGTTGTACTCTTCTGCCACTCTCAGCTCTGCTGCCTGTTCTTCCTGGGGCTCTTTGCCACAAAGACACAAAGTGCGCTGTTTGCGTACAGGTCATTTTGCCATTTTCATTGAAAAGTGAAGAAATAGGAAGCAGAATTTAGCAGCAGAGCTTGGAGGGCCATAGTGAAAGAGTTGGCTGAAATAAAGATGAATCACGATGCTGGCAGACAGCATCCAGCTGAATGTTTGACCAAATGCCCTTCTTTCCTTGGAACAGCAGCCCCAGATCGGTGCATCCTCCCATCCAGAACACAGAGCAGAGAGGAGGAATGTGATTTTATTTCTTATTGCTCAACCAGCTGAGGTTTAAGTTCAGTGGCATCACTGGAACACCTGGGGCAAAGCAGACAAGGACACACCCTGTTCTCTCCCTAACCCTTCTGAGAGAGCTACTCAGCTGTCAAGCTTTGCAATCTCTGTCCTTGCTGCCAAGAAAAGAATTGCAACCAATAAAGGAAAGAATGACTAAGTGATTTTTGGACATTTATAGATCTTGGCTGTGCTTAAAGCAGTTGACAGGTGTATCTGCGAAGTATGTGCAGTTTATACTGAAGCTGGGGGAGGGTGGGAGAATTGGCAAGTTTTTGCTGGTGTAACTGTTGGCAAAGACAGCGAAGGTAAATGGTGCAGGAATGTAGTCATGCTCATAGACTATAATTTCAGTTCCTGTGGGCGCTTGCAGCGAAAAGATAAGTTTCATTGGGTGCTCTATTTTTTTGTGTCTTATGGAAAAAGCGTATGGCTTTGTGTTATCACAGAGCATCTCCTGCCTCTTACCTCAGAATAACTCATCCCAGTGATCATACTCCTGAGATACAGAAGTATCAGAATACTGGTATTGTCAGCCTTCAAACAGCTATCTTAAGTTTGTATCTAGGATATTTTTATATTTCTGACTGTTTTATTGGCTATTGCACTGACACTTGTATATATGGAATGTGTTTTGGGTTTTTTTTTTTCCAAAAGAAAGAGTCCTTAGGAATAATGCAACACATTCTCTACAGATGTTCATGCTTTTCAGAACCAATTACATCTATTTTTGTCTTTTGTTCACCACTTGCATTGTTCCAAGACTACTAGAGAATGTGATTCTTTTAAGTCCCTTAATAAAGTGACATTACTCAAAAAGTTATAGCTGGTGTCTTGGCAGTTTTTGTATGTTGTGGACTGTTGAAAAACCTCACCAGGCAGTTGAAACCCAAACCTTGCTTATATTATTACTGAGGGGGGAAAAAGTGGTCTTCAGTTAATATTTCTTCATACATACATCTGTTATAAAATGAACCCAGTGAGGTTCTATTTTCAGGAAATCAGCAAAAAAAAAAATGAACACTTTGTTTCTATTTAAATCACTTCAACTGGACAATCTGGGAAGGAATCATCACCCACCCTATTGGATCCTCTAGGTGTAGTAACCCAGGAGTACATACATGAAAAAAGTTAATGGATTACACTGTTTGTAACAGATCTGCTAAACTCTCTGGTACTTGGACTGGTGACTTAGTTTATACCCTGACTGAATAAAGCAGCAGAGTGGAAGATCTTTAATCACTGGTGGTGCTGGATAAGTCTTACCTGAAACTTCTCATTGTATTTTCACAATAAGGTGGTGACTTGTGGTTTTTTTTTCCTTTTCTAATAAAGCAAACTATAAATAATACTCAGATCTCAGAAGTAGGTCATCATGTCTTTTCTGTGCTATACTTTTGTGATCCTGGATTTTGCTATGCTTATTTTCTTAAGTTATTCTAGAGTAGTTTAATCTTTTTTCAGTTGGAATCCTCAGTTAAAATGTTATTTTCCATCCTTTGGGAAGTTGACATTTAAATGGCCAGTGAACAAATTGCCTGTACCTGGCACTAATAATATAGCTGAAACAATTTCATTTTTTTTAAGGATGCATGTGAAGATAACAAAGCAACATCTGGCCTTCATTTCTTCTGAAGAACATTATATATACTTGCTGTTATATTCTAGGAGCTGTTTAGCTTGTCCATATGGGAACACTAAAGAAGCTGCTAGAAAATAAAATGGAATATACTGGTGGCTGAAAGCAAATGTCTGGCCCAAAATGAAGGCTACAAGCAGCTGCTTTCTGAACTTGACACGCACAACTTGTTGCCCAGCTGTTCCAGATGTGTCAGCATTCAGATGTTACTTGTAAAGTGAAGGTTTTGGTATTTTTTGATGATATTTCTTCATTCTGTCACATGCCAAAGAAAATGGTTTTAAGGTGTGTCTAAATATTATTTCTGTTGTGAAACTGCAAGCAACTCTTAATTGTAGTTATGGGTAAGTAGCATCACCTCAGTGGTTGCTAATTGGCTCATGTGGCAGCCTTGCTGTGGCTGTGCTGGAGAACACTTACTTAGGCTGAGTTAGGTTCTGTTTGGAATAAAAGAAAAAGATGCAAGCAAATGGGACTGTTCCCAGTGGACTGCTGTCAAGTACATCAGGACAAAAACAGATGTGGTATCATTAACTTCTTTATTGCTGAAACCAAACCTAAAATAAGGAACTAATTTTTTGTCAAATTCTATCCAGATCTCTGTGCTACGGAACAGGAATACTTCAAAGAATTTCAGACTAAAAATGGAAACACACTCTTCCTCTTTTGAAGGTGAAACGAGTACTGTTAAAATATATATATACATATATATAGCAAAAGCAGACCCTGCAGGTTTAACTTTATACATGGAAGAAGCAAGATTTACTTATGACCTAGAGAGTTGGTCAATATAAAAAAAATACCTTATGCTCATCTGGTAGTCTTCCTGAGTCACAGTGAAGCGGCTGCCACTGTCTGGGACTCTTCTGTTGCTTAAATCCACTCCAGCTCAATGTGCATTCCTTGTATGGAGAAAAAATGCCTTCTCCATACAGCAGCTGTCTGCCCCGACATAGGCAGCTGAATCCAGGCCACCAGTTTTTGGCTTGAAATCACTGAAAACTGCAGGTGCTCAGCATCTTGAAAGATCAAGCTCAAAGCCCATCATGTGAAGCACCCAGCATTTCCAAGTTAACTTCTATGTGAATCTCCCTTATTTTCAGCAAAGGATTCTATTTAGAAGACAGTACTGGTCACATTGCTAGAAATCAAATAATTAGTAGGTACAAACAAACATGTAAGGATTTGAAAACTCTCATTAACTGACGAGTACATCTCAAAGTGATTTAAAAAAAAAGCTGCAAAATTCAGCAACCCTCAACTCAAAATCACCTTTTCACAAGATGCATTTCTGCTGAGTCTTGATTACACTTGTAGTCAACTGCTCTGTATTGTGTGACTTTTTTCTTGGTAGAATCGCAAGTCAGCAAAATGTGGGGGCTGATGCAGATGTTTCAGCTTTAGAGATGAATGATTCTTATTTTTTTTAATACGTATTTTTTCATGCTCATCCACCAGTCCCAGGAACAGCCTTTGGTGGCCATTGCATTTATTCTTTTTATACACCGAAATGGCCATATCTAGACAGTGAGATAAAAAGACAACTGACATTTCTGATTAACGTTTCCTGATGTTTGAGACTGCTGCCATTTTGTGTTTGGATTTCTGGCTGCCTAGAGACTGTCTAAGAGAGTTTGCACATGCAAGGGCTGGTCCTGCACAGAAGCCAGCTTGTATGAGTGAGGACAGGCTGAAAGTGTCATTTCATGAGCTAGGACATTGCCTGGAAACCCAGGATCGTTTGATCTCGGGCACCTTTGCATAACATTTCTGGCTGTTTTCTTAGTCTATACCATCGCATATTTTGCAATACTGTTTCCAGTTTATTGTGCCTAGAAACAATAAAGATTTTTAATAAAGACAAAGTGCCTGGATAACAAGATGTGAGATCCTGATTGCTGTTTACAAGGTAGCAGTTACTAATTAAAGAACCAGCATCTCAACCATTTAGGAGATTGTGTTAGTGAGGAGGAATCTGTTAATACTCAAATCAACTGCAACACTGGGAATTGCTTATGTAATCTGATTCTTTGGGATGGGGGACTCACAGCATTTTATTTTAAAGGTTCTATTTCATGATCTTAAAGCTGTTCCATTCTGTGTGATCAGCCAAGTACAACCTAGGTAAGTTCACCTTCACTTCCATTATCCAGAATTTAGGACAGGGAAGAACAGAGGCCATGACATTTTGATCGGTTTTGCCTCGTTAAAACCTTGGGGACCCTGTGGAGCACAGTCAGGTTGTGTCTGCCTTGCTTTGAGCCAATGCCTATTTCAGCAAAGTGCTCAGCACAAATTACCATACATCTTGCCCTGTCTGTATGGTTCCAGGCTGGAGCACTTTAGTTATTTCACCCTTGAACAGAGTCCCTAACTTTTATAATGCTTTTAGGCAATTAATCATAGGTAGTCTGGGAAGGCTAAGATCTCTTTACAGCTAGTGGCTCTAAACTGTTAGGATAACTCTATACAGGAGTGAATCCCAGATAAAGCCTGAGCACTCCGGATTTCCAAGGCAGTTCCAAACCCTCGGGTGCTGT